TGATGGTTCCTGTGGGGTGTGAGGAGTTTAAGACCTAATCTTCCCAGTATTTGAGCTATCACTGGAAAAATGAATGTGTGGGTGACTAAAGAAGACTGTGTGGGCAGCTACATGGACTGTTGTCTCCGAGGTACCTGTTGTAGAATGTTGTAACCTCTGGCTCCTACCTATGTCCCACTTAGCTAGCTGGTTTCTGTAGTGACCCCAAAGGTCGCTTGTGTAGCAGAGGGATGCAAAGTTTGACTGGAGAAGGTTCGAGAAGGAAGAGAAGGAAAGGAATCATAGACTTCAGTGTTGGCATACATTTCACGTTCTATGGGAGGGGACACACACACACACACACAATGAGGCAGCTGCCAGAAAAGGATACAGAATCTAGAGTGTGTGTGTGGGGGTGTTGGTGTTTAGGGTTTATTTACTTAGTTGCTTATGTGGGTCGTGTTTTGTCTACACGTATGTATGTGTGCTACATATAAGCCTGGTCCTCTCAGAGACAAGAACAAGGTGTCAGACCCTCTAGAACTGGAGCTAACAGAGGGCTGTGAATCACTGCTGTGGTGTTCTGAGAACTGAATCCAGGTCCTCTGGGTTCTAACCACTTAGCAATCCTTCCAGTCCCCCGAGGGTGTGGGTTTTTGAAAATGATAGAAATAAAATGTTGGAGCTGTGCCAACAGGAGTAGAAATTAACAATGCGAAGTGGGAGAGACGATGTGAAGTGCTCTTCGGTTGCGCAGGCAAGAGGAGAGGAGGCTCAGAAAATACTCAGGCAGTCACAGGCTATTGACCAAGAAACCTGGGAACAAAGATGCTTTCCCATTATGACAGGGCTCCTTTCTTCCCTGGGTTTGGCTAAGTGGTGTTTCTAAACTGCTGAACAATCACTAGACAAGAGGGATGGTACTTTTACTTTAGATGCTGCTATTATTATCATTACTATTATCATTACAAATGAGTGGCTGTAAAATTGCATTTTGTTACTAACAATTTAATGATGAGACAGGAATAACTCGCTCAACAGTTATTTATTGCCAGGAGTGTAGCTCAGTGGCAAAGCACTTGAGTGGCATATATAAAGGCCTGGATTTGTTCCTAGCACAGAAAAAAAAAAGAAAAGAAATTTCTAATAAACTAGAGGCAGAGGCTTGGAATGCATCTCGGTAGTAGAACATTTGCCCAGCATGTACAAGGCCTGGAGTTCACTCTCCAAAATCATGGGGGGAAAATAACAAGAAAAAAAAACAAAAAACAAAAAAAAACCCCAAAAACTACTGACCTATCATGCACTTCTAGGTGCTAAGAATACAGCAGGAACAAAATAATTATATTTAAAGCACTCTGTTGGTTCCATTATTAAGTGACTTACATGTGGGTTTTTGTAACTAAAACATGTTTTAAGATGCTTTGGACTGTCACTTCACGCTATGTGACATCCCCATTTCCCAGGTTCTGGTAGACTTCGTCATCAAGGCTTCTTCCCAGATGCCTTCTGGAGAAGTAATTTCAGAATTTTTTTTCTATTATCTTCTTTGCCAGGGTTTAGTCCATGAGCCTTTTCAATTATATTTAAGTGATCTTGGAATTTGGTCACTTATAGATACATTCCAACTGCCTTTAGTAACTGCTCTTTCTTTTCTTTCTTTCTTTTGTCTTTTAAATGCTACTTAAATGTAGTTAAATTCTCTCACAAAACCAATCTGAGATCATTAAGCTATTTCTCTCCCTTCAGCTTCTATCGCAAAGGCAGTTTGCACATACAGAGAAGAAGTGTAGAGTTGCCAAGACCTCTTTTCACCAATGTAGATGCCTGAATTTTCCACTTTTCACTAAAGAATCCATTCTAGCATGCTGAACCTTTAAAAAGGTCAGCTGCCACTTGGAGAGTGTTCAATTGTTTCCCTCTGCAGTCTTCTTAACAACGGCCAGTTTCTCTGGTTTCCCTGAAGTATTTTTATTTCACAGGAAGCATTTGCTTTACAGAAGCACAATGCCTCATCTAAACTCTTCCTCATTCATGTCATAGTGTGGCTAGATCTCACATTAGTTTGAGTTTTTATCTAGCTGACAGTGGTGGACACACCTGTACTTGGTAGGTGGCATGTATCTGTAGTCTCAGGACTTGCAGTGCTCTAACAAGAACCCTTGTACAGGAATTCAAGGCTGGTCTAGACACCATGACAAGTGTGTTTTATTTTTTTCAGACTCCCCCCAATACCTACTATACTTTAGGAATACATATATTTCCATAAGCATGCCTCGTATGTGAGAGGAGCAGAGGGGAAAGATTTACCTTTTCACTTATTTTTAAAACATTTTGTTATGTATAGTTTGCCTGCATATATGTATGCCTACCACATGCATGCCTAGCACCTATGGTGGTCAGAAGAGGGTTAGGATCTACTGCAACAGCAGTTACAGATGGTCATGAGTCATCATGTGGGTGTTGGGAATTGAGCCCAGGTCCTTTGGAGGAGCAGCCAGTGTTCTTAACAACACAGCCCTGTCTTTGTAGCTTCATCCTGCAGCTTACTCCGTTCATAAAGGTTCCAAGGACCTGTTCTTATTCTTAACAGTTTCAAAGCCTGTTTGCTTAACACATATGTAAAGTACTTTAAACTGGCAGTGATTGTGTATTTGCTTGTTTGTTTGTTTGTTTTGGTTTGGTTTTCGAGACAGGGTTTCTCTGTATAGCCCTGACTGTCCTGGAACTCTGTAGACCAGGCTGGCCTCAAACTCAGAAATCCACCTGCCTCTGCCTCCCAAGTGCTGGGATTAAAGGCGTGCGCCACCACCGCCCGGCTGATTGTGTATTTGCCATCCCTGCATCATCTCCAAATACCAGTGTATAGGAGGTACAGAATAGATTATATCATATCCTCTACTAGAAATATAGCATCTCAGAGCATAAAAATCCCTGAAGCAATTACACACAATAAAACACCCTGTGACAACATGGGTAGTGTTTGACCTGTGTTCCCTCATAGCCTCTAAAGTCAACTTCAGATGTCTCCAGAGGGTTTAGGATGGTTCAATAGTTTTTCTGACTTTACAGTGGCTTAAAATCCATGTGGACTCAGTAGACACTGTATTTTAAGTTTTAATCTATCTAATCTGATTTTGATCTGGGCAGTGGCAAAGAGCTAGCCATTCAATCACAAAGGCATAAACAGTAACTCTCTACAGTACACAGTTGCTGAGCCATGAGTCAGGAGTAGCAAATGCATCCTCAACTTGCTACTTCTGGTGGATTTATTGAGCATGTACGATGGTTTAGATTAGCATCTGTGTTTGCTCCTTCCATTGCCGCCTTCCCACTGATGGGATGAGGAGTATTTGTGGGCCAAGGTATGGAAGAACTAATAAGAGCTCTGCGTGTGGCTACATGTATGGAAAAGCTAGTTTATGTTCATTAACCACTTTATGTGATTAAAACGTGTTGCAAATCTAGAACCTTGTAACCGGGATTAGTAATGTTGACCAGACAAGCAGTGGAACATTAGCACAAATAGACTTACTGAGCTTAGAAGAAGTACGTGTTGCCTAAGAGCAGCAGACGAAAAATTCCAGTATACCCATATACACGGTTTTGCCCCAAAGTAAGTAAACAGATTAAATGCAGAGTTTAAAGAAAATAGAGATCCTTTAGGAAAAGAGTAAAATGTGTTCCGATACAAATGGACAGTCTCAAAGTATATTTTAGATGACGTTTTGGCTTGCTAAAAACTTTTCAGAAAGTGAGCATCTTGCAGTAAAAGCACAGTAAGTGAAGGGCATAACGGGGAGGGGAAGTTGTTGAGAATAAGGCTCTGAAAAGAATTTCCATGTCCACGGGTTAGCGCCCCTGCATCGGCTTACACTCCTATAATGCATCAGTGAAGACATAGAAGATGCTCAGGAATGTTCGTACTTTTGAGAATGTCTTCTCTTGGGTTAACCCGCCTGACAGATAACCCGCTGTCATTCGTGTTTCCCTCACCTAGAACTATTTGATTAAACAGGGGATATTAATAACTCCGGCAGAACTAAAGAGTTCTACCGTGAAGAAAAGAGCTTCCGGTGGTTGGAACTTTGGAACCTGGATATGTTTTTCCCATTTTAGGGTAGTGGCCAAATGGCTGGGAACTATGCAACGAAATGGCTTGGATGCCTACCTCACACCACAGAAGCTGAGCATTAGTAATACCTTCCCTCATATTTCCATGGGAGAAGGCTGGCCACAATGCTGGAGGCTGTAGCACCAGTTTAAAGCAGGTGGGGATAGGTAGGGACGATACACACAGAAACATTTTTCTTTAGGAACGAAGCCAGCGCTTCTGTGTTTGCTCATTTGTGGGGCTTTCGGTATTGGTGAAGAAGTGGAGGCCTGTTCAGAAGCCAGGCTGCAGGAATCTGTTCCGAGCCTCTCAAATAGTTTATGCTAAGCAACCCCAGCACAACAGCTTTGCTTTTCTGAATGCATTCTCAATGTCACCGCCTTTTTGGAAAAGTGAAATGTGCTGTGACACATTAGCTGAAGGAGACAGTCAAGACGATGAGTGGCATTGCGTAGCAACGAGAGAGAGAGAGAGAGAGAGAGAGAGAGAGAGAGAGAGAGAGAGAG